GTCGCACTTAACTTCCCCGAAAAGATCTAACAGGTCACCAAGATACGTGTGCTAAATTGTCCACCTTTGACAGGTTCAACAGGTCGCCTGCAGTTAGTTTAAAGATTTGGGAACCACAATAATTGTCGCACGCCATTACAATGATATTTTGTATTGAGTTAATAACGTACTGGCAAGTCACTGAGTTACAGAACCAAAACTGCCCCGGGTAAATCCACATCCACATCCCAATACACCGCTGAAAAGAAAAGAAACGTTCCCACCTAAGAATCTTACACCTGTAACACCCTGCGATTTAGCAAACTAGCTTTCAAGTCTTAATTAACTTCCATAAGACATAGCTTGATATATGTCCCTTCAATTAACCTTTTTGCCTCCATTTCTCTACAGTTTGAGTATTACATTTCTGCGTAACATAACACTTCACGGTTCGCACAAGCCTTAACCTAATAGTGAAGTCCTTTTTTTACGTGCGGAATACATAGTCATCTAGTAAAAACGGTGCTAGTATTGAACTCTGGAATAAAACAACCCAAACCTCTTCAAACAGTTAAAAATATTTCTGAAAAACTGTTTGGTGCAATCGCGTAAGCTTTCTTCTTAAACTTAAATAAAGTTTAATTTACCTGAGGAGTTCTCTGAGAAAACAAGATGCATTATTCGAATAGAGATCTTATAAGACGTTTTAGTGTGTAGTATCGCTATGTATTTTTGCGAATTACAACGTACTTTGACGAGCCTGTAGGGCGAGTCCGGCAAAGTACAAAAAATAAGTTGAAATACTCAGTGATACCTCACACCGAAACGTATAATAAGTTATTCCGTGGAATGCCTGTGGCAGGCCAACAGGGTTTGCCAGGCGTTCCTTTTTCATCGTCGACGCAAATCGACAAATCTAATTAATTCTTGATATGCTTGAAGTGTTTGACATTTTCGTATCTCTTAGCAATGAAATAGTTTCCAGTAGACGGATCCTTGTGTTTGCGCTAGCTCTTTTGGACGTAAAAATACACGATTTTGGTGGGAGAACATCGCTTTTTCGCCACCATGTTACCACAAATTGATTTAGGTCAGGTTGATTCGAGGGAAGCGAACGTTTTTCTGTGATTAACCATGAAATATGTAATAAAATCTACCGATTAACCTCTCACGTGGCGTAAGGTTTAATGTGTAATTCTCATCGCGAAATGGTCTCAAAATATCACATAATTAACTACAAATCGCTAAGAAACAACCCAGCACAGTTTTATTAATTATATTTTAAGTGTGTAGAGCCTGTTTTCGTATTTGTTTTCGATAAACACATTATGCCGACTGAAATTATACGTCCTCAAACGTGAGAAGTCGTTTTCAGGGGAAATGCTGTTGCTCTTTGAAGAATTGAAACAAGTGACGAGAAACAAGAAGAGATCAGTAGGTCGAGTTCCAGCTTGTTTAAGAAGAATCCAAAGGTTTTTGAGATGCCACTCTTCGCTATTTTCAACCACAAACACAGTCACTGTTTGTTCAACACAAAAATTTCCTACAGAGATTTCTTTGGCTGATCTAACTGACTAATCATGATAGCTTACTGTAACTTTACAATTCTCTTAAAGCTACGGTCAGTAGCCAACGCATCCTACGGAATCGTCTTTAGGCGTCTTGTCTATTGTGCAACTGCTCTATTTTAAGCGAATTTCTTACAAAGCGAAACTAGCGAGGCAGATAAAAAGCATATCCCGCGCAGCCGACCGATTAAACAGGTTTTAAGGAAAAAGTTATTGCCACTGAACACGTACAGGCAGGTTACTGAGACAAAGAACCAAAAGTGACTCGGGCCAATTCGCATCCACATTCCAATACGCCGCAGGAGAGAAAAAAACCGTTCTTGTCTAAGACACTTGCACCTGTAACACTTGTCATAACAAACGCTCCACATCAGCCGTGGCCTACACGGATCCGCTGACTGCTCTTTAAGTTTAAATAAAGCTTCTATTATCATCTTTATTGTTATCACCCTTATTATTCACTTTTGAACTATTATCATAATTGCTATGATCGTCATTATCATAATTAATCAAGGTAGAGACTGAATGAGATTCCCCGACACCAAAACAGAAATAGGAAAGATTCTTCATTAACTTAAATATATTTTTTAACTTAGCTGAAAGTTTCCGCGAATTGGGTCAACTTGTGAACCGTTTGAATTATCGATGGTTTGTAAAAAGAAGAAAGGTTGACCCTTAAGGTTAAATCCATTACCCTAATGGATTACAGATTCGGACCTGTTTGCTTTGCTTAAATAATTTAATTCAATCGGTTACTAAGGTATCAACGCTTACCAAATTTCACCTCGAAAACTTAATAGAGTATAATAAAGGCCCAGGGGAGCATTACATAGCTTCCTTATCCATGACGATAAACTAAACGAGTTTGGTTTTTACCATTAAATCTTTTAACCTCTAGGCTGCCCACATGCAAATGTTCTATGACATATGACTTCCAAATTAAGCTTCGTTCTATCGTAAAAGCCAAAGGCATCTCATGAGACCCACAGTTTACAGATTCTAACTGACAGAGGAAGAACTTCATCAGGTGAGTATAAACATAACCTAACTTATGAATCAATTAGTTACTAAAAATCAACTTAACCATATTGCCATACATCATTGCTTCCAAGATATCTGCTAATATTTGGATTTTTTTATTGAAAGAAGTTCAGCTGAAGTAAAAAGTATAATCGCAATACTTGAATAGCAGTGCTCATGTCTAGAGTTCGGGGTGCTTTACAGTCAAAAACTCAGTAAGAAAATATGGTGACATATACGGACAAATAAAACTACATCAAGTTTATAGTAAAACTCACAAAGACGCATTTGTGATTCAAACCGCCTGTAAGTGGAAAAATAATTCGGCCTAACCCAGACACCTTAAGGACAAATATTAATAGTTTTGATTTTGAACAGGTTTGATTATTCCCATTCAAAGTTCTAATTCTTTCAGTGTTATTACTGATGAACCAATACTCTATCTAAATATCAAGCTTGAAAGTTATTTCGTTGCAAAATTCAAGTCGATGTAAGGTAAAAAAAAGTAAAGTTTTCGGAGTAACAAATAAAGCAGTTGATAGGGTTCCAGTAAGTACTCCTTTGGAAGCTATGGTATCATTTTTAAATTAAGATCTCCTGGTCAGGAGTCGCAGTTATCCATAGTAGACGTTACCATTGTTGTTCGCTTGAAATTTACGAAAAGTATCTGACGAGTCTCTTGGCCGAGATAAAACGCCGCATCATTACAGCCACGATATTTTTGACAATCTTTCATTGTATCTGTTGTAACTCATGAAAATGCAGCTAGGAATTGTTCTGCGATAGAGGGCCAGACTGCCAATATCTTGACTTCGCAAACGGGACTTTCTGCGCGATGCTCGACGAATTGGCTTGAAATTTACGAAAAGTATATGACGAGTCTCTTGGTCGAGACGAAACAACACATCATAACTACCAGGAGATTTTTTTTCACAAGAATTTGACAGTTTTCACTATCAATACTATTGTTCCACCTTTATCCCAAAATATATTTTTAAGGTCTTACAGCACGAAGAAGAGAAATGCATTGGGATATGAAAAAAAAAAAAAAAAAAAAAACAAGAACCTCAATCAGGAAGCTAATGTGTCTTCTTCTTCTGTGATGTTTCTCATACTTGAGCGCGCGCGCCGTTTCACTTTACGCACTTTCACTATTTCTTCTGAGTTTCGAGTGGGTTTTAGAATTAACTGTCGTCAGATAGCATGTCACTAGTAAACTTAATCAATGACACTGTGGTGAACTCGTGGATAAACTGTGCAGAGTTTCACTTGTTGTTTGTATTCATTATTTTGCCTGGTCAAGTTTTAGGTTGAAAAATAAACTTGAAATTTAAATCTTACCCTTCCACAAATGATGAAGTTCTTGAGGGGAGGGGGCCGCCAGTCGTTAAAATTTTGTTCACTGGGTTATTCTGCGGAACATGTCCAGTACAAAATTAGCCGTCATCCCCACTAAAATCTTCCTCCATTGATCCGCCCTATGTTAACAATCCCTTCGCCGTCCTTAAAACGAAGCACGCTCTCCCAGTCTCCTGAGGCCGTGCTAACGTCAAATAATTTACACATTAAATCACCACATCACTAGCTCCTATACTTCGCATATCCACGCAAAAACATGGACGATCAATGTCTTGATCTTAAAAGGAACGCTTTCAGACTATTGACAGCTTTAAGGAGCGCGCTTTCACTAAAGTGAGTCTTGGTATATAAACGATGCGTCACTTTCGTTTTCAGTCGCGGTGGTAAACGTATTGACAACGTAGCGTAAAAAAACATCCGTCAATTGTTGGACGACGTTGGGAAGGTTCGCACTCGATCACCGAGTTTGTTTTTCACAATCAATTTCAGTGGGAGGGCACGCGCTGCCTTTCAGGGCTAAAGGCAGAAACAAAATAGTTTCATTCGTACTTACGTAATTCATTTTGTCTGTATGTCTCAGTTAAATTGAGGCCAAATTTTATTGCCTTTTTCTCGGTATTCTCTTTTTTGTCATTCTTGGTCAACTTATGAGGTAATTAAAATCTCCCTGAAAGTCAGGTATCAAGACGGTTTATGAGGTAAAAATATAGAGTCAGCAAACAATCAACAAGTCCATCGATTTGTCGGGTGTCAAGAAATTTAATATGGTAAAATACCAGTTAGCAGGCAGGGAATATGTCAAATGATCTGTCAGGTATCAAGACAGTAAAAGTGGTACAAAGGTCAGAGAGTCAATCAGTCTAAAGATCTGTCCAGCGTCATGATAAATACATAATTTATTTTCAAATCGTTAGCGAGATTTCCAGTGACACAGTGACACGGAAATCATGTAAAGCAGTTGTAAATAGTCTTACTTTTATAATTATTATTTAAAAAAATAATAATGAATTATCATTGAAGTCGTTATTATTGTTACTATCATCACTACCATTATTATTATCATCATCAGAACTATCATCATTTTCCTAACTACTTACTCTATTCGCTCCGACGAAGGGCTAACGCTCGAAACGTCAGCTTTTGTAATCGTTACGGTGGCCAATTTGCCATTTCAACTTTGTTGATATATCCAAATTATTTCGTTACTCCCACCGACGCAGCCCCAAACAGTTTCTTTCGAAACTATCAGCCTTTACTCTAAAATAATGTCGATATTTAAGCAAAATGCTGTTTAATTAATTCAAACTGTCTTGGTTCCACAGACTTTGTGCCTTCTCACATGCATTAAGAGAAAGACGCTTTTCTAGCAAGATATCATGTTTGTCTCCCTAGCACTGTTGCTTTGCGTGACCCTTGCATTTTCTGAAGCGAAAAAAGATGACAATGGTGAATCAGAGGGACTGGGAATGGTGATCTATCTTCCAAAGATAAACTTACTGGCCGACTTTCAAGAAAAGGAGAATCGTATCTTTGATCCACTTTCACCAAAATGCTTTACAAAGAAAACCTTGAGGTCGTCAAGAAGCAATTTCGACTACTACAAAAGCACCAAGGAATTGTATGAGTCATTAGCCACCGAGTCAAGCCTGAGTGCCTCGTTAACCTCTACGTTTACTTTGAGCGCTACTGTATCAGTGGCAACCAAAAACAAAGACACAAAGAAAATGGAAGTGAGTGGCATGTCTTTGATCAAGCAGGCGTCGACAGAAAAGACTTATGTCCATAAAGAATGTCTCGTGAATGCCAAAAAGTCCACCCTCAAAGAAGGATTCCTGAAATTTTTAGAGAACTTACCATTGAAGATTGAGGAACCTTGGCTTCACAATTCTTGGAGAGAATATTCTACTTTCCTGGAAAAATACGGTTCCCATGTTGTTCAGTCTGTGAAGCGAGGAGTAAGGTTCCAGCAAATGGTATTTGCGGAGAGCTCTGAATCTTATAGCGAGAGAGAATTCCAGGTGAAAGCCTGTCTCTCGGCTGCAGGTCCCACGTCCGTTGGAAAGCTTGGCGTTTCTGCTTGTTCCAACATAACAAAAAGTGAAATATCCAAGACAAGCAGGATGAGTGTTAGCGAGACACGGTTCGTCAGAGGAGGACTGAGGGCAACAAATAGCGAGCTGGCAAATGGAGAAACGTCAGCTGAACTGATTAATAAACTTATGAATGAAGCTGAACAGTCACCTTCGCCTGTCCAGCATGAGTTTATTGCAATCTGGACCGTATTACAAAGCCGCTTCAAACCAGGATCTCCGAATTACATTCGAGCAACAAACCTCCAGTACTACTACAACGGATACTTGAATTATGGTTGTCGCTACAATAAACGCAAGGGTGTTGAAGTGCGAAAATTCGACTATACCGGAAAATCACGTGAAAAATATCCAGAATTCGAATGTTCACTTGCTGGGGAAGGTTGCCGTAGCGACGATGATTGTGATTTAGTATGGGGATCGTGCACATGCCGAGGAAAAACGTGCGTTCGCCACAAGTCGGAGAAACAAATCACAGGTAGGTCCAAGGAAACTGCATATATGAATGAGCATAATACATGGGACGGGCATGGATGCTATTGGAATTGGTTTACGTGTGATTGCGACAACGAAGATCGCGATGAACGCAAGGTTGTGTGGTCCTTACGTATCACCTCCAAAGATGCTGGTAAACATAAAGCACCTGGCAATGGAACCTACCAAGTGCCAAAGGATTCAGTTATAGGTCAAGCGGGAGGAACGGCAACACCTAAAACAGCTGAAGATGCTGCCAAACACCCAACACCCGGCAGTACCAATCAGCACGAGGCAAAAAATGTTTTTCAAACTCAGATGAAGGAAGACAAAGAAGAAATTTGAACTTTCTTACTGAGATGGTGAGCGCCTAATTAAAAAAAACTGGACTCATACATGAGTTGGCCATTCGATTAGAGATGGACAGCTATACTTGAAACGTTTCGCGTCAATGAAGTGGAATGTTGAAATGCAAATCCAGTTAAAATGTTAAAATAAAAGAGAGCGCATCCACCTGAGTCAAACTTCTTCTTGTTATGGGTAAAAAGGATAGAACTGTTGCTGCCACGACTCCTTTGCCTTCTTCATTTTACGGTGAAACTGACAAACTGTCTCGTTCGGCGACCCCAGTATTTAATTGTAATCACATACAGATTTAAATGCTTCAGGCCGGGAAAATATCATAACTCGCCAAGGTCCCATACAAATTTTTAGCCCGTGACAAACAGTGCAGCGAGATAGAGAAGAAGCAACGCACAGGGGAGTAGAGGTAGCTCGACATTTTGAAAAAAGCGCAGGGTGTAAAAATGTGTCTGTGAAGATCATATCGGTTGAAGCCACTGCGAGTAACGCGTTAATTATCGATAGCTGACATTTTTGCCATAATTTTCCCCGATTCAAAAAGATGTCTCGCTATTGATCATGATATCTTCTTAGCTAAAAAGAACCTTAAGAGGGAGGGTTGTCCAATACCATGGCTTGCAACGAGTCGTGTAAACTGAGTTGGTCACGTAATATATTCACGAGCCGTATGATCCCTTCGAGTCGTTCAATGATTCCACCAGTAGTAAGATTGTGTTGACCCTTCTTGAATGTCGTTAGTGAGACAAGAGTTTTTTCCCCACATGAGTGTCTGTCTGGTCAAGTTGAACTAGCACGCAAACGACTTATTGCTTTGGTAAATAACAGTTTTCTTTTGGAACAACACCTTATCCGTGTTGGTAAAACTGAATTTATCATCAAGAAAGAGTATCAGCGAAGCTGAGGAAGATTAGAATCGCCTAGAATTTCTAAAAAAGCGCTTCAGATAGTAGAAATCCAGAGAAACGCCCTTTGTAAAAGTAAGACCGCCATCTTTGCTTTTAGTTCCGATCATCACTCCTGAATATTTACTTCCGTTTCAGTGGGTTCCAATACTCGCTCCTACCTATTCATGTCTTCTACGGTTCGAATACCTATTCACACTGCCACAAAGAATGGGGCACGGGATCCTATTCTTTAGGTGACGATTCACTTTCAAGATCGATGCGGCGCACCTTTGAAAAAGCCCTACCCGATAAGCCCCAAGAGCTTTCCGCTACAGTGTACACATGACCCAGGTGTCTAGGACGATAGTCATTCAGACTCATTTGTTGAAAAGATGGAAACAGAAAAAATCAAGGATTCTGGTAGGACACGCTACATGTAAGACACATTAATGTAGCCATTTTATCAGATCAAAACTATTAATTTAACACAAAGACAAAATTTGCCTTGTCATACAGATTCTGTCCTCTCTGTAAGAGAAACCCACGTCTGCAAATGATTCAAAAGCACAATTGACCCCTAACTTGAACTGAAATGGCCATTACTCCCTTTTTTCTACAGCCAATTCGTACAAAAAGTAATTAAATCAATGAGTAGCGAAAGTGGAGAAGGGCTTTTATTGAAATCTTTTAAGTTTCTGTAAAAGAATTAAATTCAAGCGATAAAGGATATACTTCGTTGGGTTGACTTGTTGATTGCAGATTCTGCTTACATCTAAAATATAATTTTAAAATAGAAAGTGATAACTTAAAGGTAAAAAGTGACTTCTTACCCTAGGACATAACTCGATTTCCTAATTGTAAGAATTTGAAAAGTCCTGTTGACTTAAAGCAATTAAGTTAATCGAACACTGTATAAAGTGGTGGATTTGTAATATTATTTATCAGCAGCAAATCTCTACTGACATCGACTTATAATTCATTCGATAGATAAAAATGAAAATCACTCGATACTCGTTCTCGATTCGGCTAATTGTCGACTGAGTATCGTTTCTTATGGAATGATTTGATGATGGAATGAGAAGGAGCACGGGCCCACCAGTTTTCCAAACACCGAACAAAAACCTTAAAGTCGTAAAGCAACATAAACAAATATTGTCAACTACCATGGAACTAGTTATTGTTCTTACATATTCCAATTTGCCGTTTGTCAACATAAAGTCACCAAGTTACGCATGTGCGCTTCGTTAAACTCGTCGTCAAACTCCTTTGTATTTCTTTCCTAACTTGTAGTCCTTAAAGGAGGGCCGCTTTCT